TTTGCAGTGAGGTGGAGCTTTACATCTTGGACCCACTTGAGGTAGTTCCTTCCAGAGACCTCCAAAGCGGTGAAGTCAAGTTTGTTCAAATTCGACATATTCCTATTACAAAATAGATGGACAAGATGTGGTTAGTGTAATGGAGAAAAAATCAATTCATTCACATATGAGTAGAACATACAGGTTCTAATAGACACATATTGGTTTAATTTTGCATGAAAAAACTTCGGGTTTTCATGGGTGATGTTTTTAAAGAAAACTTCAGGTTTCGAAATAATTATGAACTTCAGGTTCATATATTCCTACAGGCAAACACAAATATATACACAGAAAATTGCGAGAAGAATATACAAGAAATAGAACTTTTAAGTTTATAATTATAATTGAATTAATTATTTGGTCTGCAGACCAAATTAAAGTGTGGGTGAAAAAATATAAAACCCATTGGGCCTGAAATAATTAGGCAAATAAAACTCGGGGCCTAAAAGAAAAAAAATAAGGCCACATGTGGCTTTAAAAAATGTGATCTGTGTGACCTAGGCCTAAAAATTGGGCTAGGTTTGGTCTCGGGTGGGGTTGCAGGCCCAAACAGAAAGGACACAAATTAGGTGCAGCACAAACAGTGAAACGGGCCGGTTAAACAGCTTATGGGCCAATACAAAGGGCCTAAAAATTAGGGAGCCGACCGAGAGATGGAGCCCAATAGGGCTCGGGTTAGGTCCAAAGACACCCCATCCGTAGCTGGGTGTGTTCGTCGAGGAAGAAGGTGGGCGCCACCACTTCAGGTAGCCGTGCTTTGGAATAAGTGCTTGGGGCGAGTCCATGGGTCAACAAAGACCTCAAATATGAACGGAGATTGAAAAATCTTGACGTGCTATCAAAACCCTAGTAATATGAATCAGAAATTTAAAAAATTCCGACGATATTCGAGAATCTCGGTCAACTGGTATCAGGGACGAGCTTCAAGCCGTCAAATATAGTGACCCGTGGATGGGGATTGGCTGTAGGCCAACCTACGATGGGGGAAAACACCATGAAAGACGTCGAGGTCGCTGGGTTTTCAATCTTGGAACCCTCGGCTCCGGCTGGGGAACTCGCGGCTTAGTACGGTTTGGCCACCCAAGCTGTAGGCTTGGTTCAATGGCGCAAGGGCATGGGTTCGAAGAACCCAGGTTGCCTGTTCCGATTTCTTTTCTTTTCTTTTTCTGTTTTTTTTTTCAATTCAATTCATATATAATTTAATTCAAAGCATATTCAATTCAATAGTATAATGCATGTACATATATTTGATGCAATTCATGGCAAATATCAAATTCACATAATTCAACAATTATGAATATAATGCATACACAATTTATGTAGAATCTAAAATTCGAAAAACGTAAAGTTGGGTCATGCATTATGGTGAATGTTCTTGCTATCAAGGCTGCAAAAATATCGAGATAAAAGTCGTTGTTTTGGAAGAACCTGATTGTGTGATGATATGGATGAACTTGTTTGATGTAGAAAAAATTCTTCAACGTCAGATTCCTAAGCGCAGCGGTATGAGCGTGCTGATAACTTGTTGTGGTCTATTTTATCTAACAGGGAGCGAAAGGGCCGGCGGCACGATTGGAGAAAGTGAGAGAGATGTGTTTGTAGAATTGTAGGGGAATGTGTGTTGTTATCCCTCCTACATTGTGTCTTTATTTATAGTAGTAAAAATGAGAGAAGATATTCCTTCATCCCCAAGGAATACAAGTTGTAATAGGAAAGGATAACTAGAATCAAATCTAATCTAGGATTTACACAATCACACTTAAACTCAGAATGTTTACAACAGGCATAACCCACTTATTATATTTATATATTTATTAGCAAATGTATACATGCTATCCATATAATTATTAAAATAAAATAAAATTTAAAAAAGAAAAAATATAAATGATTTTGGTCGTTAAAGTTTTATGATGACGACTTTCAAATGGTTTTTAGTCACTGAAGAAGCTGTTCATATATTACTTCAGCGATTGTTTTTAACTAATTATTTCATCATTAAAATTTATTTTATTTGGTAGAAACGTGGATAGAGAGGGTGATGAGAGAAAAAATGAAGACAATTGATAAGATTATTTGGCATTAAGAGAGGGAAAAAAAAAAGAAAAATTATTTTGTTTGTAATTTTATTATATTGCCTATAAATTATTAATTTTCTCTGGTGTTGTAAATAGAGTTGGAACCCATCTTTCTACTTTTTTTTGTTGTTGACAAAAAAAAATATATAAAGAATCTGTGCCAAAATGGAAGTGAATCTGAAATTAGTCTAAAGAGGGAGAGAGAAAGATGTAAAGATGGCCTTTGCCTTTTCACGTCGTCCAAAAGTGCACAAAGTTGATTTGACACGGAACCGTGGCTATTCAGAGTTATCAAGCAGTGCTATGATTATACACTAATTAATTAGTATTAAGATGAATCATGGGATGTTAATGATGTTGTGTACTCCAGGGACAGGGAGCCATGCCTATTCTCTGAACCCTGTGACTGTGTGTGTACAACGGTCGATCCCCGAAACCCTACAGGTTCGAGCTGTGCGCCGACATATCTGCTCCGGAGGGTTCCACCACATTCTCTTCTGATCCCATGCATCTTGCACTCCACTCAGTCATGCCGTGCCCAATTTTGACAACAAAATTGGCCCGTTCAAAATTTAGTAATTTAAACTACAACGAATGAGATTCAAGCGTGAACATGCCCACAATGACCTCACAGTAGGATGTTGGTACAACTTGGTAGATATATACTAGATTTGGAATCCATTATAATTTAAGCTTAGCATGCATGGTTTTTATGGGTAACACACGTCATCTGATTAAAGATTGATAGAGACTTCCACTACTAGGAATGTGTATGGAGAATTACTTCAATGTGTTGAGAACATTTAATATATTAATCCGTACTCGGTATTCAAGCACATTAAAAAATCTCTCGTGTCTATGCAATCAAGGTAATCAATCATTGAGGGCTAAAATAATTAATTAAAGTAAGTTAAGAAATAAAGAGAAATTTCAAATGAATGTCTTGGGACTTTTGCGCGCTTATGTCATCGTCATAATAAAGTAATAGGAATATTAAAACCAATAATTAATAGAATAATAAGCACTTAGGGATGATTTTAGACAGCTTAGTGTCCAAAGGTAGCTCGTAAATATATCGTATAATATCTTAAAAGTTGAATATATGACATAATCTTTGAGCTTAATCAGTTACTATCCCTTCATGATGGCTCATATCCATTATCCCACACGATGGAGTATTAATCAGTGATTAATCACGTCAATGAATGAATTAAGCCAGCTAAACTATTCTATTCAAGCTAAACTGTTCACGGGTTGGGATTAGGACATGCAAGTATACATGCAACTAAAGGCTAGTGGTTGCATCAAGCAGAGGATTCCATGTACAATAATTCTCTTAATCATTCAATTACTTTTGGTAACAACCATTCAAATTTGAAATTTACCTAACAGCCTCAAAGGACAGTTTGACAATATACATTAGTTTAACTTACTAACATTATTGTTGGTTGTCCAAAAAAATTGTAAATTAGTTTTTCTTACTTTCTAAGGATTCTTAATCCTTGAAATCCAAGATTTGTGATGTATATATATATAAAAAACAGTTTACCCTATGAATGAAATCATCCAATTTAATATTTTTAAATGGTATCATAATTCCGACATATAAAATGTTAATTAACCCCATAAAACATAACCTTTTATTGTTTTTCATTTTAAATTTCGATGATAATATCACTACTAAGGTAATTAACTCAGTTCATTTGGATATTTTTTGTAGTTCCTTTATTGTTTACTCGATTTCTGCTGACATAAACATAAAAATGTTGATGAGGACCCCACTGAACAATCGTAGCTTTAGAATTTGAATATTACAGAGTATTCTCTTATAATTTAAATCGTGAATATGGAGATTGACATGGAATTCAACCAAGCAATTGTTTGGAAGGCTGTAAATTCCATTCTGAAGTTTACAAGCTTTTGAGTCACACATATGATCGCACTCAAAGATAGCTTTTTTCTACTTCAATTTGTTCCTTACGGTATATGTTAACTCAGTTACTCAAAACTGTGCTTATTTTAGTGTCATGATTCCATTTTTCTGTTGAATTAGTGGTTTAATGAGTGTACTCTTCCATTCCGCAAAAACCTGCCGGCCAAAGTTTTCCAATCACATCGCAGGCTACGCTAAATTAATGTTTCCGAATCCAGATACATTAATTATGATAGAATAAAACCCTAGTTTGGATTCCTTGTTTCACAATCATTATGTAAATTAATTTTTCTTACTTTTCCAAAGAATTCTATTCCTTGAAGCTTAAGACTTATGATGTATATAAACCCTATAAGTAAAATACATTAAATACAGTATTTCTACGTAGTATCAACTTAATTCTATACCCGTACTTTGACCAAAAAAATATCCACACCCGTATGCAGGGACGGATGGAAATAGGGACCAAGGTGGTTCCATAACCACTAGTCCGGAAAATATACATGCGAACATCTTCTGATGACCCTATGAATGTTTGGGAACAGTCCCTTTTGTGCTTACTAAATGTTTATGTAATACATGCTAGGAATATCTCAATAGGTTGCGTCGACAAAATAGAATTTTACAACTTAAATTTCATTGTATTACATAATTAAAATATATACACATACAATCCTTGTTCCTTAAGGAAACAATAAAGGACACAAACATATATCATTCCTAATAAAGGACTCCTAATATTTACACAATCTCTACATTCCCTTTTAATATTTACTCACGTTTTACACTTCCCCTCAAGTTGGTGCATAGATAACACACATGCCTAACTTGACAAGTGAGTCATCAAACTTTTGACTACACACAGCATGAGTAAGAATATTTGCAAGTTGCTCCCCTGAATTCACAAACAGTATTGACACAACCTTCTTCTCAAGCTTTTCTTTGATAAAATGTCAATCAACCTCCACATGCTTTGTCCTATCATGCTGCATTGGATTATCAGCTATATCTCTCACTGATTTGTTATCACAACACAATTTCATGGTCTTCTTCAGCTTGAACCCAAGACCCCAAAAAAGTTTCTGTAGCCAAAGAATTTCAAAAATGCCATGGGCCATGCCCCTATACTCGGCCTCAACTGAGAATCACGATACCACCTTCTGTTTCTTAGTTTGCCATGTAACCAGATTCCCTCTAACAAAAGTAAAATACCCAGAAGTAGATTGCCTATCATTTACATCACCTGCCCAATCAGCATCCGTGAACCTTTCAATCTTCAAATGATACAAACTTTTTTTCCTAGTGTAGACTTCAAATATGTTAGGATACACATAACAGCAGCCATATGATCTACACTTTGTGAGTGTATAAACTAACTCACAACACTCACAACATAGGCGATATTAGAACGTGTATGAGCCAAATAAATTAGTTTTCCTACAGGTCTCTGATATTTACCTTTATCAACTGATTTCTGATTTGGATCTAAATATAGATGATGTTTTTCAACAATGAAAATATCTACCAACTTACACCCTAGCATTCCAGTTTCTTTTAATAAATTCAGAACATACTTGCGTCAAGACAAGAAGTTACCTTTAGATGAGTAAGCAACTTCAACCCCAAGAAAATACTTCAAATCCCCTAGGGTCTTCATTTCAAACTCGGTGGCAAGGTTTCCCTGCAACTTCAAAATCCCATCAAAATCATCTCCTATTATAATCATGTCATCTATATAGATGATTAAGGGTGTCACTTTATCTTGTCTCCGTTTTACAAACAAAGTGTGATCAGAATGACTCTGACAATACCCATTCTTTTTCATAACTTGAGTAAACCTATCAAACCATGCACGAGGTGATTGCTTAAGTCCATAGAATGACTTATGCAACCGACATACTCCGATATTCCCACCAGCACAATACCCGGAAGGAAAATCTATATATACTTCTTCCTCCAAATTCCTATGGAGAAAAACATTCTTCACATCGAACTGTTTTAATGGCTAGTCCATATTTGCAGCTAAAGAAATCAAAACACGTACCGTATTCATCTTGGCAACTGGAGAGAAAGTTTCCTGGTAATCTACACTATATGTCTGGGTGTATCTTTAGCTACCAACCTTGCTTTGTACCTGTCTATTGATCTGTCAGCTTTGTATTTAATTGTAAACACCCACCGACACCCAATTGTCTTTTTTCCTTTGGGTAGAACTGTCACTTCCCAGGTATGATTTTTATGTAATGCCAACATTTCTTCATCCATTGCTTTTGCCCACTTTGGATCCTTCAGAGTTTCCTCAACTTGGGTTGGTACTTGAATAGACTCCAGATTGTCCACCAAAGCTTGACGCTCCGGTGTAAGACTATTGCATGAAACATGGTTGGCTATTGGATACTTCACATTCCCTTCCGGAGAGAACCTATCAGGGGGCATACCTCGATTTTGTCTCGATGGTAATTTATATGTACTTACATTATTACTTGGATTAGTTACATAATCATCTACAATACTTACCTCAGGTATATTCAGAGAACATGTATTGGACGACATGTGGAGCTAGAGAGAGAGGGACATATCAATAGGTTTGGCAAGTGTCTGCCGTGATTGAGTACTAGTCTCGGTAAGAATCTGCCGTGGTTGATCAAAAGTTGTCTCGGCAAGCCGCTGGGCATTGTTGTTCTCTACAGAAACCAACTGAAAAACCTCATTCTCGGCACCTGCAGCCGGGTGGCCTTCAGTAGTGGTAGCATGTGTACTCTCGGCAACTGTGTCTCCCCTAGGTCCAACTAACCCAAATCACCAATAGTGTTCATCCCCGGGAGATCTGAAGCGGAATGCACCGAAGTATAAAAATACTTCGATTAAGAAAAGGTCACATCCATGGTTACGTACATATGCCGAGTCTTAGGATGATAACATTTATATCCTTTTTGATGAGACGAGAAACCCACCAATACACACCGTAGGGCACACGGATTCAATTTACTACGATGAATTTTCTGGATATGAACATAAGCCACACACCCAAATACTCAAGGGGTGAGAGTATTAGTAAACACCACTGGAGCATGTTGAGTGAGAACTTGGAGAGATGTTTGAAACTGAACAACCCGAGATGGCATACGGTTAATTATATACACAACTTAAGTAACAGCCTTAGGCCAAAAACGCTTAGGAACAGATGCTCCAAGAAGTTGAGCACGTGTCGTTTCTAAGATATGGCGATTTTTCCTCTCAGGAACCCCATTTTGTTGTGGGATATGAGGATATGTCATTCCGTGAAGAATGCCTCGATCACGGAGAAACTCCGACAACTCAAAATTAATATATTCACCGCCATTGTCAGAAAGTAGAACTTTAATAACGGAAGAATATTGTGTCTGAATCATCTGACAGAAAGATTGAAACACCATTCAACACATATAACCAAGTCATACGAGTGCAATCGTCAACAAATGTAATAAACCATTTAATTCCAGAAGAGGTAACAACTGGAGAACGTCCCTAAACATCAGAATGCACAAGTTCAAACGGCAAAGATCTTTTATTCATACTAGGAGGAAATGAAACATGATCGCTTTTAGCAAGAATACATACTTCACAATATAAGTCTGATTCATTTATTCCACTAAATAAACTATGCAACATATGCCGTAAATACCCAAAAGATGCATGCCCTCACCGATTATGCAATAACCATACTTCTTGTAAATTACTAGTACGAGACGCTCGAACCGCATTAGCTCTGCCAGGAATGAAGTCATCCACATAGTACAACCCCTCTCTCTTAGTGCCACACCTAATTATCTCATTGGTCTGAATATCTAGAAGTAGACAAAAGGACGGATACATTAGAACAACACAATTCAATTGTTCAGTAATTTGTGGTATTGATAATAAATGATGTGATAAAAATGGAACAAGTAAGCAACAATATAAAGAGAGAGATGGTGTGAGATGCACGGTGCCAGCGCCAACCACAGGTGCAAGGGTGCCGTTAGCAGTTGCTATACTTTTCCTGAGAGATGTTGTCATATATTGAAACATATATTTATCATATGTCATCTAATCCGTTACACTAGAGTCCAGAATCTAACCTGTATAATGCTCAGTATTGGAGGCTAAAAGAACATGCCCCATAATACCTGTGTTGCAGGATGAGTCACCATGAGTAATATGAGTCAATAGAGTTTGACTTCGATCATCAAAGCTAGGCTCAGCTTCCTTGGCTGTCGATGTGGCAGTAGCAAGGAGGCACGACCTCTAGTTATTCCTGCAGTCCCACGTTCTTTGGCACATAATCGTTTCTTCAATTCTAGAAACCACTAAGGCATCCCATGTTTGATAAAACATGTATCTTCAGTATGACGGGTTTGACCGTAGAAAGTACACTTCAAATCATCTTTGTTTACTCGGGTAACAGGGTGAGAATTCAAAGACGGATTAGAAGAATTAGCTTGATGAAAGGATGCAGGTGGCCGAGACACTTTAGCCACCGATGGTGTCCATTGGCTCTGACACCAAATAGAATTTTATGACTTAAATTTCAGTGTATCATATAATTGAAATATATACACATACAATATTTGTTCCATAAGGAAACAATAAAGGACACAAACATATATCCTTCCTAATAAAGGACTCCTAATAGTTACACAATCTCTACATTCCCTTTTAATATTTACTCACGTTTTACAGACAACACTTGACAAATTCTCTCCATATCACTCATTGATGAGTGATTCGGCATATATGCCAATATCTGCTAACCTGTGCCCATCATGGTTTAATTTGACTGACACAACAAGCCCACCAAGTGTTCGACCAAATGCCTCAGTGAATGAACATATTTTTTTTTTTGGCACTCCTCTCTGTAGTCCTATCTACAAACTTGTATTTAACACTGAAATCCTTCAAAGTTCAAACTCTGAACTCGCCTCTGCTCATACGCACGTTCATTCAATATAATAGTGTATTAATTCGGCAATGCATGCAGGTGTAGCGGATGCGTGGTGATATTAAACGGCAAGATTAACTGGCTAGCCAACTTGTTTGCATTGAGTTGGGCCAGCTTGTCAGCATTATTATTCTTCGTATATTGCTTCGACAATAAACCTTAAACATTAGCACATGCTTGCATGCTTATGTACTATGTGCTCGGTTATTGAATCATGACACATGTGAGAATTATATTTAAGAAGTGAGCAATCAACTAACTGATCATTGAAATTAAATAACTAAAAAATAGAAAATAATTTTCTAAAGAAAGAACCTCACCCACGTAGAGAAGTTACTGGACCATTTTTATGAATTTATTATACATAAAAAATTTATAGCATCAAGTTATTAAATTGTAGACCTCATAATATGCCACATCAGCTATTTAACAAAATTTGAACGGAGTTTTTTTTTTTTTAACAAACGATATTATTTACATGAAGAGGATGGAAGAGTGGCTAAGCCTCATACTGGATTAACAATAATGTGGTTTAAATATGCCTTTGGCGAGAATCGAACATAAACTCTCATTTGCAAGTGAAGAGAAATAACATTAAACCGTAACATTAAGTGGTAAGAACGCATAAAAAATTGGTGAGTGAGTCAATGCATATATAGAAGACAAAACTAATGAGTTTAAAACATAAAAGACTTAAATTAAGATTTTGCAATACATATAGGACCGTTTGTGACAAATATCCTATATAATATAGATACGGGACACAAATCTAGCTAGTGTTTTATCCCAACCAAACTCATATCACATATCACTAGTTTTTTTTTATCCTGGACACAAAATTTTAAACTTCGTTGTGCAAAGTTTTTACAAAAATAAATAAAATAAAAAATTATTTTTTAAAACCTTTGCGAGACGAAATCCAAATATATCAATATTTCGTCGCTTAAACCTTATTTATTTATTTTTTATTTAATTTATATTTTATATTGTTAAACTAAATTATTTTCTTAATTTTTTGTTATATTTTTTTGCATGACGAATCAACATTTGGTTGCCTAAACCCTATTTATTTATATTTTAAATTGTAAAATAAAATTGTATTCTTTTTTATTATTTATAAAAATTATTTTTATAAATTTTGCGCGACGAACCTACATTTCATTGCACAAAATCCTTAAATTTGGGCAAGTGCCAAAAATGGGATGCAGGAATTAAAAAAAAAAAAATTTAAGACTTTATGCGACCAATCATTCGTCACGCAAAACTTTGTGCAACCAACACATATCGTCGTGCAAAACCCTAAAAATTTGGACGGATGCAGGAAATTCTTTTAAGACTTTGTGCAACCAATATTTCGTCGTGCAAACTCGTATCTTTCGTCACGCAAAGTGATATGATTTTTAAAACAAAAAAAACTCCTCCACAATTTTCTCAATGTCTTTCTCTATTCTTTTACCTCTCCTCTCTCCCTCTCTCCAATCTAACCCTATCATACTCATTCCTCTCACTTAATCTCTCTTCTCTCTCTCTTCTCTATCACTCGCTCTCACTCACTCTCTCATATCTTTCTCTCACTATCTCCTCTAACTCTCTCACAATCACTCATCTCTCATTCTCACTCACTCTCAATCTTACCAAAAGGTATTTTCTCCCCAAATTTTAAATTTCTTTTTCATTAATGTGTGCTTTGGAGTTAATTTTAGGTATGGTGTGGGGTTTGGCGTCGAGTATAAGGTGAGAAGTGGAGTTTGGGGTATGCCAATTTTAAGGGAGATTATGTTGATTTATGGTATTATTTTATGTTTTTTTTTATTATTTGACCATGTTTAGTTTTTTCATAAGGAATCGTCGAGACTTTGACGGCGAAAGTTGAGGATTAGGACACTATCGGACCATATCCCCCGCCACTACCACCACAATAAACTTGTATTATGATTTTATTATTGTACTTTGTTAATTTATGTGTACATTTTAAATATATTATATATATTGGATAATTTAATCACTATTTTTCATATGTAATTCTAGGGGTGGGCAAATGGGTCCAGGACCTGCAAAACAGGGTGGGTAGTCACGGTTCGGGGCAAATTTGATTTTTTCAGAAAAGAAATGGGGCAGAGCGGGGGAGTGGTATTTCTGGGGTTGGGCGAATCCAAATTTTTAAAGGCACAGGGTCCCGAAATGGCCTATTCGTAAAATGGAATGAGTGGATGGGATTTGCTTCCCGTATTGACCTAGCCTTATATCCCACTCAACTCATCTTTTCCCCTAATTTCCTATCTTTCCTCAACAACATAGCCAAACCCAGACCATCATCGATTCACCACCATTGTCACCCAATCACCGCTGTCGCGACCACAACTCAGTCCTCCCTCTCCAATCTTGATCGTTGATTCTTAGACTTAATGACTCTCCTCCCTCTCGATTCGCAGGCTCCATCTCGAATCTTGATAGTTAAGCTTCCTCCTTCGGCTCA